AATTAGTTATCGGTAGAGTGATCACCTTAATTTGTAATTAAGAACTATCATTTAGTTTTCTGTACCATAGTAAATCCTTCATACATTGTTCTATCCATAGCGTAATCACTTTGATCCTTTTCGAAATCTAGAGGGAAAAGATGAAAGAAGTAGATAAATGGTTTTCTGAATGTACGTGACCGAGAAACAACTCTTAGCCTTCAGGTTTGTTATAGACCTCAGGGTATATGTATCCCTAAATTCAGAAAAGCAATTTTGGTATATTCCATTGACGTGGATAATCCATTTTCTGATCTGTTTGTGCACAAATTCGTTCTGGAATGTCACATATAGTTGTTCGTTGTATCAGTGTTGAATTTCTCCTTAGCAAGTATCACCTTCAGAGAATGTTGTGTTTCTATTCTTACCAAACCTTTGTTCACACACAAGCTTATACAGAAGTATTGTGTTCAATCTGGTAATAAAATTAATTGATTATTCTGTTGTATGTATGTAAATGATACATCTGTGAATGCATTGTATCATATACCATTCTAACCGATTGATGTATTTGTAACGAACAGAATATTTGTTTCAATGTGACAATCTTTCATATTATTTCCTAATTAGCTTCCAGTAATTCATAAATCTTATGGATGCATCAATTCCGCAGCAATGCGCGGGGTATTATCTAGTTCTGTAGTAAACAAAGGCCACCATAATCATGGTAAAAAGGACAACAACCGCTCAGCAAAATTGTAGAGATTATTTAGAGCGGTACCTGGAAGGGGGTGGAATCCCTGATGCACTGGCATCACACTCCAAAATCCTTCTTGACAGTGCCTGCCCTCTTTGAGCTTGTGGTGCATCGCCGACGCTCATGTTGTGTGCATTACAGTGGTCATAAGACAACTCAGTCAACATCATCTCATCAAGACGCTTTTGCGTGCGATCGTATAGCAAGAGGTGGTACTAGGAATAGGGTTCAATGTTTCAAACAGGGGCCGTCCACCAAATCAGAAATAGCAGGGCTATAGACGGCTATAGCCCGTTATTAGCAAACTATTGTACATGAGTTAGTACCATTTAGCTGCTCCCTGCTTAAAAAGCTATAACAAGGCTATAGTCGGCTATTGAAAACATTGGTTTACTTACACCGCTCAAATAGAAAATAAACATCTCTTGCGCTGGGCTTAAGTTGACATATAATTTGTTCATTTGTCCTTGTTGAATGTAAATACATTGTAGACATGTGTCTTCTCAAAAGAAACCACAATCGCAAGGAGAAAAAGATATCCTCATAAATGGAGATTTAATGTGATATTGGAAAAAGAAATATCTTGTGACAGAAAATTGATATAACATTTTTTCCTGTACCATCATATAATCTCAGAGTGATGGTAAGAGTTGTTCAAAACAAAATAGTGATGGTAAGAGTAAAACACTTGATTTTGACACTGCCATTCTCGTTGGTTGTTTTTTTGCATATACAAAATCTGAGGTAAAAAACACATGTGTCAGTTCTAAATTTCCAATATGCATACTACTCAATCCTAATCACTACTTTGTTTTTTCTTGAAAATTTTATGTTATGTAAAGTGGTGCATCATGGTCACATTTTCTCTAGCTACACCTTTGGGTGGAATCCTCTAACAGTAGACCTCGGCATACCCTGAGCTGGGCGCGCTTGCAAAAGCTTGACCTGAAAATGTCAAGCTCGGACTTAACCCCACAGTTCACGTTCATATTTAAAAATAATACTTTGAACTAAAACGACAACATTTATTTTCGATCGGAGGGAGTAATATAGATCATTTTCAGGGTTAAATCAAATATTGCACATATTTTTTCCTCAAAAATCCAAAAAAGGCACTACTCTGATACATCTGTGAATGCATTGTATCATATACCATTCTAACCGATTGGTGTATTTGTAACGAACAGAATATTTGTTTCAATGTGACAATCTTTCATATTATTTCTTAATTAGCTTCCAGTAATTCATAAATCTTATGGATGCATCAATTCCGCAGCAACGCGCGGGGTATTATCTAGTTCTGTAGTAAACAAAGGCCACCATAATCATGGTAAAAAGGACAACAACCACTCAGCAAAATTGTAGAGATTATTTAGAGCGGTACCTGGAAGGGGGTGGAATCCCTGATGCACTGGCATCACACTCCAAAATCCTTCTTGACAGTGCCTGCCCTCTTTGAGCTTGTGGTGCATCGCCGACGCTCATGTTGTGTGCATTACAGTGGTCATAAGACAACTCAGTCAACATCATCTCATCAAGATGCTTTTGCGTGCGATCGTATAGCAAGAGGTGGTACTAGGAATAGGGTTCAATGTTTCAAACAGGGGCCGTCCACCAAATCAGAAATAGCAGGGCTATAGACGGCTATAGCCCGTTATTAGCAAACTATTGTACATGAGTTAGTACCATTTAGCTGCTCCCTGCTTAAAAAGCTATAACAAGGCTATAGTCGGCTATTAAAAACATTGGTTTACTTACACCGCTCAAATAGAAAATAAACATCTCTTGCGCTGGGCTTAAGTTGACATATAATTTGTTCATTTGTCCTTGTTGAATGTAAATACATTGTAGACATGTGTCTTCTCAAAAGAAACCACAATCGCAAGGAGAAAAAGATATCCTCATAAATGGAGATTTAATGTGATATTGGAAAAAGAAATATCTTGTGACAGAAAATTGATATAACATTTTTTCCTGTACCATCATATAATCTCAGAGTGATGGTAAGAGTTGTTCAAAACAAAATAGTGATGGTAAGAGTAAAACACTTGATTTTGACACTGCCATTCTCGTTGGTTGTTTTTTTGCATATACAAAATCTGAGGTAAAAAACACATGTGTCAGTTCTAAATTTCCAATATGCATACTACTCAATCCTAATCACTACTTTGTTTTTTCTTGAAAATTTTATGTTATGTAAAGTGGTGCATCATGGTCACATTTTCTCTAGCTACACCTTTGGGTGGAATCTTCTAACAGTAGACCTCGGCATACCCTGAGCTGGGCGCGCTTGCAAAAGCTTGACCTGAAATTGTCAAGCTCGGACTTAACCCCACAGTTCACGTTCATATTTAAAAATAATACTTTGAACTAAAACGACAACATTTATTTTCGATCGGAGGGAGTAATATAGATCATTTTCAGGGTTAAATCAAATATTGCACATATTTTTTTCCTCAAAAATCCAAAAAAGGCACTACTCTGCTCCGGCGTGCCAGCCCAAATTTGGGCCGGTCGGCCCGCAGCCGTCTGATACGCCTGGTAAGAACCGTTCGATTATAGTCTAATTCTCGTCCTCGTTCACCTCTTGCCCACGCAGAAACAAAAGAAAAGGTCAATCAACACCACGCGACGCCCCTGGCCTTGAAGAACCGCCCACACGTTTTTCGGCTGTCGTTGCCCTTGACATCGGTCGCGGTCGCTGCCCTCGTCGTCGGTCACCAGGTCGCCGTTGCTGCCCTCGTCGCCGGTCGCCGTCGTCGGCTTCGTGTATGCAGCAGCCTGCTCCCGCGGTTGGTACTCCCCATGGCGACGGCCGCAGCTCCGGTGCTGTGGCACAACTCCAATGCAGCCGACCATCCTCGTCGCCGGTTGCAGCCTCAAAATGCACAGCCGTGTCACTTACAACCAAAATACCAGTACCGATAACAGCAAAACAAACACACCATGGAAACAAAAAAATGAAAATGGGGCATCGGTTCCAGCAAAAAACTCGCACAGGGGTGGAACCAAAAACATGAAACACCGGTTTCAGCAAAAACATGATATGGTGGAAGTAAAAATAGACACCGGTTGTAGCAAAATCAAGACGCCGATAGCAAAAAAAAAGGGTTGTGTCCAGCAAAATCCGAAGACTGTAGTAGCAAATAATGGGGATGGCTGTAGCAAAAACAAACTGGTTGCAGCACCACCATCAGGCCGTGGTCACCATCGTCGGGCCATGGTCACCACCGCCGTGAGATGGCCCCCCACTGGTTGCAGCAAATCTGGTCATGGGTGGTAGCTTTTCCCGGTGCCGGCTGTAGCAAAATCGCAGCACCGACGTCGCCGCCACAATTTCACCGTCGCCCCCCTTGTAACAAATCCGGTCGTCGGTTGTAGCACGACCGGTCACTGGTTGTAGCACGGTCGTGTAGCGACGGAGCTGGGAGTATGCCATGACCGTGGCCGGAGGAGGACGAGAAGGTAAGTGGTGGACGACCATGGCGCCCGCCCAAGGAGCTCGCTGGTGTCGACCTTCCGTTCATGATACAAGGAGTCCGCCCCAAGGGAGCTTGCCGGTGACAACCATGGCGCCCGTGCAAGGAGCTCGCCGACGACAACCATGGCGCCAGTGCTGGGAGCTCGCCGGTGACGACCATGGCACCCGCACAAGGAGCTCGCCGGCGACGCACGAGATTAGGAAAAGAAGAGAGAAGGTATGAGCGAGCTTGTGTTTTTTTGGGCGGGGGAAAATGAATGGACGAGAGGAGTCCAGAAGAGGATAGGGCATCACAGAGGATAAGGCGCGTGTAGCGGGCAAGCGACGCGACTGGCCGAAAGTTTGGCCGGCGCGCCGCATACAAGCATTTACCATCCAAAAAACACTGATTTTCCTCATGTGAAAAAGTGAGGCCCGATCCTGGCCCGTATGTTGACAGGCTTTTGGGCTGGGATGCCCATACCCCCAGGTCTCGCATAGTCTTCTGGTATCCCTCAAAAGAAAAATTAGTCTTCTGGTAGCTGTCCCGTACGTCTCCTCTAGTTCGTCCAGAGAAAGAGGTTTTCGCCGCCCGCCGCCGCCGCTTCTCCGGTCGTCCCGTCCTCTCAAGGTTTGATCGCCTCCCACATATCTTCTTCCCTCTTTTTCTCCTATCCGCCCCCGCTTGCGAAACATGTCTTTTCCCCACCATCTCATATATTTGAACTGATGATCTAGGGCAGGCGATCCCTGTCGCCGACGTGGTGATTCACCCCTGTCCGGCCGTCCTTCCCATCAGTCTCAATGTCGGGGGAAAAGACGGTGTCTTTTTGCACCACGGATAGTGTGCAGGGCAGCCACGTGTTCAGTGTTTCCGGGTACAGCAAGCAAAGGGGCATGGGCGCCGGCAAGTTCATCAGATCCGGCGGCTTCTCGGTCGGAGGCCACGACTGGGCCATCCGCTTCTATCCCGATGGGTTTAACGATGATTACCGAATTTACATCACAGTTTACGCCGAGCTCTTGACTAAGGACGCCGAGGTGCATGCATCCTGCGACCTGAGGCTGGTTAATCAGACCACCGGGTTATCCTCTTCCCTGGACAAGACGGAACCAAGGCTGTTCAACCAGACCAATCTCAGCAGGTTTGCCCCACAAAGGGCCGACTTCATGGCAAGGAGCGAGTTAGAAGCATCAGCCTACCTTCGGGATGACCACCTCGAGATAGAATGCATCATCACTGTCATGAAAAAAGCACGGGTATCTGAAACCAAGGTGCCCCTGTCCGGCATCGCTGCGCAGCTCGGCAAGCTGTTGGAGGCAAATGATATTCCGGAGGACATCACATTCAGCGTCGGAGGTGTGGTTTTCGGAGCACACAAGAGCTTGTCCTTGCTATAAGGTCACCTGTGTTTAAGGCAGAGTTCTACGGGCGATGAAGGAGACAGGAACGCCGCTCATAACCATCAAGGACATGCAACCTGATGTCTTCAAGGCCCTACTCCATTTCATCTACACTGATTCATTGCAGATCACGGATGATCTCGAGGGAAATGACCGCGTTGAGATGCTCCAGCACTTTACTACTAGGAAAAGACTTACTAATGGTGCACCAGTTTTGCCTACTAATGGCACATCACTGGTGTGCCATTACTAGCATGCCACTAGTAATTTTTACTAATGGCGCACCACTGGTGCGTCATTAGTATCTGGTATACTAATGGCGTACCACAAAGTGAGTCATTAGTATATAAAACCATGCGCCGTTAGTGTGCTTCCGAGGGGCTATATTTAACAATGTGCTTTGGCACACTAATGGCGCACGGCGGATAGATGCGCCATTAGTATATTTGGCATACTAATGGCGCACTCTGTCTTGATGCGCCATTAGTATCCTTTGGCATACTAATGGCGCACTCTATCTTGATGCGCCATTAGTATCCTTTGGCATACTAATGGCGCACCTTGTGGTGATGCGCCATTAGTATGAATATTTGTTTTTTTTTTACTTTTCTGATTTTTGCACAGGTTACAAAATATATTATTTGACAGAATATAGACAGTAGCACAGAGCAACAGCAGATTCATCGAATACAATAGAAGATTAGTCTCCAAATACAATTCATCATATTAGTCTCCGAATTCAAAAGACCGAATAAAGATAAAACATTTCAAGTCTCGAGACCGTGAGTATCGAGTTTGTCTTCATATTACAAGTCGATATCAATCATCTAAACTACCATCACATAGAAGAGAGCTGCGGTCATCACGATGAGCATCATCGCGATCAAACTGGTCTTCATCCGGTTCCTCCAACGCTCCCTCCTCTCTCCCGCTAGATAGCGGGCGTATCTAGATTCCGCCTCCGCCCTAGTAGTGTACCCTTTGTAACTGTTACCGCTGAAACGCTGAACCTATCTACGACACTCCTCCCAGTCGTCGTAGACTCCGGGAACCTTACCCTTGTACACGACATACGACGGCATCTCTATGCATAAGCCAAACAACAGACAATACATACATAAGCAATATATAAGTATGCAACAAAAGGATCGAAAGAGAAAAGCAAGACATTAATAGCACGATTCATGGTCCTACTAATAAATAGCATCGATTACATCTAAGTTGAACGACTGTCCAAACCAAAGAGACATACAATTCATTAAAGTTTAATTACAATATGAGCCAATCAATGTTTCAGAACTACACATCACTACTTTCGACTCGACTCATGGACAGGAGCGTGGATGAAGCCGCCGTCTGTCGTGATGGTCATGAAATCGCGGGCGTTGTCAGCCTGCATTTGTAGCATTCCGTCTATCTCAATGTTGGACGGTTGATATCTGAGGAAGAACTGCCCCGAGGTATGAAGGACATCTTGATGGATGATGTCCGCAAACTCCGACTGGATGCGAAAGAATTCTTGTCTGATGTCCGCGTCCTGGATTGCCGACAAGCTCACGGCCCAATCTTTGAGATTATTTGGTAGCAGAAGGTGATGATGGTCCCTTACGATCGCCCGTATGTGATGGAGGGCGTAGTAGGCATCCTTCTGACCGCCAGGCGGCTGCTTGACGCAGCAGAACGTCATATTGTGGGCGAACACGTGCTTGCCGTACTTACAAATTGCCCTGATGAAGGTGCCTCCAGATTTGGCGTAGCCAGGGAGAACATCATCAAGAACTTTCTTGATATTTGTGTAGTCTATCTTGGAGTTACGGTTCGGGTCGAAATACGTGGCCATGGAATATTTCGGGCTTAAGAGGATGAGTGTGCAATGTGTGTCACTGCACAGAACACGGAATGTTAGAAAAAAAAGAATGATCAAAATCTAAGAAATCATATGTTACGGGGCGGTTAAGGGATGACTTACTCGGGAAAGTAAGCCACAAGGAAGTTATCCTTATCTGGGTTTGCCAGAATGACGTCTTCGAGGTGTGAACTCGCGACTTGGCGGTCCTCAGCGCTGCTCAAGAGCTTGGCACGCATGTAGAAGGGGTCGACGATCACGATGTCCGGGGTCTTGTCTCTAATGATCTGCATCTCCATACTCAGCGAAAACAGCCGAACGAAGGTGTAGTGCAGTGGATGAAGGTTGAACATAGCAAAGATGTCATCAAACCGCAGGACGATCGTACCCCCGATGGCGCCATCCACAAAGCCCTTGCCCTCTGGCACCTTGGCCACGAAAACCGAGTATGCCACATCATTCTCTCTGAGACACCGCTTCTCCAAAGAAAGAACACTGTCGTGCAGACTCCGCATAGCACCGGTTGCAGCATTGAGCATATTTGTCGGTAGCATCACCCTACCTGCCACATGCACCCTCCTCGAGATATCCTTAGGTGAAGGTGGCCTGTCCTGAGCACGGATCGTACTCGGTGCCGGCTGGCTCGCACCGGCGCCCTTTTTAGTCGGTCGTTTCCGGCCCTTCTTCTTGATCTGCTGTAATGGGACCGAGTTCTGCTCATAGACCGCCTTCTTGAGCGTGTTGGGGCTGATAATATTTGGCACCTCCGCTATCTGAGGCTCGGTGAAGGCGGCAGCTGGAGGCGTCTCCTGAGAACTGAACGCCAGACGACGCCTGTTGCAATTGGGTTTCTCCGCCGTACCAGCTAGATCGCGGTCGTCTTGTTTGGTTTCTTGAGAAGGAGGCCCGCAGAACTCGTCACCGTACCCATGTTCGGCAAAGTACTTATCGATGTTGGTAAATGTACCATCGTCGTCGTCGTCGTCGTCCGGATCCTGTGCCATATGCATGTCCGGATCCTGTGCCATAGGGATGTCCGGCATGTCCGATAGCGTTGCGGCATTCTTACCATGGCTTGGCGCCGGCATGACTGGCGGTCTTGTCTGTGGGGTGGTGTCCCCCGCCCCTAAACGAATCTGGCTCTTCGGCCAAAGCAGGGGCCAGCTTACGCAGGCGCTGAGGGTCATCTCATCTTCTTCGTCGGCCCCAGCGGGTCGAATCGGAGGTAACAGCTCGTCGCAGCCTGGCAGCACCCGAACCACTTCAACCCTATACATTGTGGGTGGCATCGGATTACCGTGGAACACGGGGTTTCCTGGTTGAACGATTCTGCCCTTGGCGACATCGACCAACTCGCCGCCCACGAAGTGCAGGAGAGTGCAAGGAACGTCGGCGGCGCCCTGCAAAAACATGTAGGGCGTCAGGGATGCCCAGTCAAAGGCAAGGAGATGAAGTCCTCGGCCGAGAGGCTTAGTTACCGTGATGCCGTCGAGCTCGGCTAATGTCGAGGCACCGCCAACGGCGGGCGTGCAACTGACGGAGGGGCCGCTTGCTGGTGAGGTGCCGGCCGGCGTACACCCGGGTGCATTAAGCTCCAATGCCGGCGTCGGAGACACCAATACCGTCGCCGCCGGAGACACCAATGGCACCGCTGCCGTAGACACCAATACCGCCGCCGCCGGAGACACCAATGGCACCGCTGCCGTAGACACCAATACCGCCGCCGCCGGAGACACCAATGGCACCGCCTGCGCGTTGTGCGAGTTGCTGGCCAGAAGCTGGGAATCGGGGGCGGCCCCTGTTGGCCACCCGCAATCCACTTCGTTATCCCATGAATCAAGGTAGGCATAATGTCGGTGAGCGTCGATCCCAGTTGTTGTTGCACTTGCTCTTGGACCATCTCCGGAATCCGCGCCACTTGCGCCTTGAGTGCTTCAACCTCGCGCGACTGGCTTTCCGAGCTGGTCTTTTTCTCCTTTCGCCCACCAGCGGTATAGTATGACAACCATTTTGTGGACAAGCCTTTGCCAGCCACACGACCAGCTGACGTTGTCTTACTGAGCTTATCCTTGTTTTTCATTACGTTCAACGCCCTATTCAAAGGGGTGTCGAAAGGGGAGCTCTAAGACGACCCCGCGCTACTGCTTTCTTTGTCCTGCGGAAGGAACGTGAACCATTTAGAAATATTGGGGATTAATTAGAATGCAACCATATGGAGCTAATTACGCGGGGGTGTATTCCTTACCAGAACAAGCTCAAGCTCCTTGGTCTTCGGATCCGTGGTAAGCTCCTTTGTCACCGGGTCCTCCTTGTACCGGGCGCTGAGAAAGTTCCTAGTCTGCTTGTCACTGTATTTCTCGAAGCGGGGCGGTAGGCCTTGCTCGGCATGCTCCGCGTCCTCCTTGTCCCATACAGGCTCCGCCACTCTATAACCGCCGGGACCGAGTTGGTGGACCCCTATGTTCAACTGCCGCATTTCTTTCCCCCACTTACTTGATTCGGAGGTTGCGGGGCTCTCACACTTGATCTTGAACTCCTTGTACTCATCTTCGCTCATCAAAGAATATTTCGCCTTGATCTTCTCATAACTATCACCTTTGTCAATCATTGCCTTCACCGTGCTTTTCCAAGTAGACAGGGCCGTGCTCATCGTCGTGAGGGCGACACCGTTCACTTTATTACCCGGGAGGCATGTGTTTGCGAACTCAGCGGGGAACTTGTATCGCTCGTGCAGCTTCGTGAAGAGGAGGCTGCGCAAATTCCCTCGGTCCTTATGCCTTAGGTTCTCGGTGTTGATCGAGGCGGTGCTCCGGAGAATGCACCCGAGCTGAATCGAGTACCCCTTGACTACGTGTTTGGGCGCCGTCGGATGCCCATCGGAGTTCACTTCAGTAAATTCCGCCCTGACGGTGCCGAGCACGTTCGGGCGCCGGTCCTTCCGTTGCCTCTTCGGTTGGCTGCCATCTGTGCATGCGCCGCCATTATCAGTGGTGGCATCCGCGGCGCCATCATCAGTGGTATCATCCCCAACGCCACTAGGGGTTGTGTAGTCAGGATCAGTGTCTTCCGCGGCGTCCTCATAGCGGTGAGGTTCTTCCTCCAACTCCTGAGACAGCTCCCAGAATTGCTTGCCACCCGAACCGCCGACCTCATCGTTGTGGGCCATGTTTCGCTCTAAATAGGAAAAAAGTTTGGTAAAAAAGTTGGTTATTGTCAAGGAACAAGATCATGATCTCATCATTTAGGGTTTGTCGACATCGAGGCATCCTAAAAGCTAAGCTTTTATCATTTAGGGTTTGTCGACGCCGAGGCACCCTAAAAGACTAAGC